CGCACGCGCGATCTCCAGATATTATGGCCATGGATTGGCTTTCAATTATTGTTGTGCCAGGTACGATAACGTTCCAAACAATGACGTGCTGAAGAGCATATTCACCAAAAAGAGAAATTGTGTTGTCTGCAGCAGTCTTTCCACTTAAAATTATGCAGTTGGTTATACGTAAGCTTTTTTTATCATATGAAACGGTTAAATGTGGAATATTCCCTTTGAGAAGGATAGGACCGTGAGCTGCATCAAATGATCCTCAAAATAGCCCTTTTAGTTAAAAACCCCACACACATGTGGAACACTCTCTTTAGGCTTCTTTCATGCTCTTCGGAACGCCCATCCCCGATACACATGAGCGGAAAGGGAAACGCTACGCAGTGTTTGGACTGCTGGTACAGAGGTTTCTTAACACATTACAATGTATACCATTATCTCCATACACCGTCACCAATTCCAAATCGGTTTCAGAAGGGAAGTCATTCCTCAATATCGATACAATTTTGGAACCGACCAAATTTTATTTTTTTAAGTTTAATTTCGATATCATGGACGCAGGTCAAAGTAGTGGAAATCCAGGGAGAAATCAGGATTTGGGGATAGATTAGGCCAACTTTATTCGCAGAGCCCTTCTCCCCGAAACGTACTTTAGAGTTACACCTATGCGTCCATCCTTGACGTGGAGCAACATGTGAAATAAATTTCATAGGAAACTTTGACCCTGCGTACTTGCAGTCTTACAAGCAACATCACGGATGGCCGCGGTTGCAGCTTCCATCAAACCGAGCGGCGCTGGCGCGCCAACACCGGGCGGCGGGCGTCTGACACGCGAGAACAACCGTCGTGAAATCATGCCTTCGAAAGTCTTCCAAAGCGAGTTCGTACCGCTCAAAAATTAGACAGGGGCGTGAATTTTGCGAGCAAAATGTTGTGGATGTCTTCTGATTATATAAAGAGCGCCAGCAACATGAAGAGGGATTTTTTGGTTGCTTTTCTACCTCCACCACCAAACTCCGTCACCGGTTCGCAGTGCTGCGAGTGTTAATCCGTTCCTTTTATAGGAGCATAAATTACACAGGTGAAACATGCTCCCGAACTATCCTCTTATCGCACGAATTGACATCCTAAAACGTTCAAAGGTACCTCCTTCAGAAACGCTGCCGTTTTCATCCACTCAGCGACAACCGCCTGATCAATATACGCAGGGGAGCCGGCAACACGCGGCCAGTGTACACCGCAATGCAATGTAACGCGATATTTGTGCTGAGGCTTGAGACCTCGCGTGGCCAAAGCTATGTTATGTAATTCTTACACTTCTCGGTTCTGAACGACGAACCTCCCTTCCTTCCAAGACGAACATGGTCAATGAGGAGCCAGCTCAACTAGGAACTCTTTTACAATCAACCTGCCTTGCGCGTGACGTTGACATTATGGTAGTTTTATTTGTTATGCATTCGAACTGAAGTTGGTTAGGCAGTAGCATTAGCCTTATTCCTTGGAAAAACCGGGAGAATGTAGATATAGTTAGGTTGATATTTCGGCAATATGTCTTTATCGAAACAATAGCAGAAGTTCCACTTCTACTATTGTTTCGATAAAGGCATGTTGCTGAAATATCAACCTGATTATATTTCCATTCCCCTGTTTTTGGCGAGGAATAAGGCTAATACCTCTGTCTTATCTATGTGAATATTGTTCCTCGTTAATGCGCTGAACAACTGAAGTGGGTTAGAGTTGCTTTTCACTCACTGGCACAACAGCTTGGAACGGTGTACTCATGTATTACAGCTGGCTAGCAATGCGCGTTTGATGAAGTAAGCAGGGAAAGTCACGAAGAGGATGGCATGAGTCTTAGCGATTTGGGGAAATGTTGAAAGCGTATTCTGAAATAATGTGCGGAGTAGTTATGCTTCGTTTAACATTAACTGAAATGTGTGTGGTTTATCGATGAATATTTTGGAATGCCAGGGAGCTTCATGTAAACGAGAGGCAAAGTCAGACACATTGTGGACACTATTATTCTGTACACATAAGATATACATACATGTATATATATATATATATATATATATATATATATGTATATGTATATATATATATATATATATATATATTTCATCCATTCCGAGATTTTCCGCATCTGTTCTCTTATGGTGAACTCCAAGACTCTGCCCCCCGCCCATTTTGAGAAATCGACACCCAAGGCTAATGAAGTTTGTGATTTTTTGGCATCTTCAGAATCGGATGCCAATATGGGAATCCCGAAATTGAACACTGCTCAATATTAGGGTCAATCTATCAGTGCTCCTTGAACAGAGGCCACACAACCTGGATAAAAAATGTTGTGCAGGCATGTCGCACTATCTTATGCGAGAACTAATGGCGTAGACACTCCAAATTTAAAGTGGGTATAGGCGTCAGTTTAAGAACGCGTGTTTACTTTTCGCGTGTTCTTGTAAGGTATGCCTGAAAAACTGGGCATAAATAACAAACTATTCAGTTTCGTTTAAGGTAGGCAATTGAGGGCGAAAACTTGCAACGGAAGTAATGAGATGAACTGTTTATTTTCAGCAGTATTGGCTGAAACGGTGACAGATCTTAACACCATAGAAGAATATAACATTTCTGAACCATTTCAAGACGGTGAAAAAGACAAAAGTGTCTGGAATGTAAGGAAGGCATCAAACTTTCGAGAGCAGTGATACAAAACACCTGCCGTGTTTTGGACACGGGAAAACCTGAGGTGGAATGAGTGGGCCTTTTCCGACGTCAGTTCGCTCCTCATTTTTTAGGACACTCCCGACATTTCCGTTAATCTGCCAGCGATGTGGGTGTATCATTTTACTGGCCTTACAACTGCTAAGAACTGAAGACAAATACTGTTCGTAAGCCATCAAATGCAGGCCCTATTACAGACAAAATCAAGACTCCAGGCCTCCATTGCCTTGTCCAGGTCGGGGAAGGTTTTCAGGCAAAAATAAACATAAACAGCAGTATGCATTAAGTCAGAATACTTGTCGCTCAAGCACCTTAGGTTTTCGGACTTAACTGTTGCTGACCCTCGTCCATGCGTGACTTATGAGCGTTGACTTGAAACGTAGAGAAGTCGCGTAATTGTATATTCGTTGAACCAGTAGCCTTACAAAACCACGACCTTCCGAGTCGTATTGCAGATAGGCATTTCTAACCCAAAACTACATGCTAAAGAACCAGGGCTCCATGGGCCTCTCTGGCTTCTATCACACCACAAAGAAACGCAATTAACATCTTGGAAAACTCTCTTTTAAGAAAAAACCAGCCGTGGCGGCGGAAGCTCCGATAGCACTACGCGTGGGCGGTGCGCCTGCCTGTGTCGAGGGCGACATGAAAGCGACTGGCTGTACCTAGGATTGCCATAATTCTCATCGTACGGACTAGGCAGTTAAGGCTATTCGTCGCTGGGTATAAGAGTGGCTGCGTGCACACGTGGCGTACCAAAAAAGAGGGAAGAATCTTCCATTTGCTTGCACATTCTAAAAAGCTTTTAAGTTGGCAATTAGCGGGCTTCGATTGTATTATTTTCTCGTTTACCCGTTGCACTAACTACCTTTCAGCGCCTGTTCATTATCCTCATTTGTGCAGCGTGCTGTACCAGACCCATCAGACTGTCAAGTCATTTCGGTGTGACCTGTGGCCATCTCCAGCTCCCGCTGCGACTGTTGTTCCATCCACGCATACCGTCCTTCCCCAATCGCTCCACGCGATAGCGATAGTTCACCAGCGGTCTGCTAGCATTAGCGTATATTTAGTGATAGCCGGCGCCGACACGTGACCCAGGCACGCTACACTATCCCGGAGCGGGCGCGGGCCACGGCGCGCAGGGCGGCCGCGGCGCGACCGACCTCACCCGGCCGGCCGTCGCTCTATCGTATGTGGATATATATACGCACATAAATAATGACACGGCTAGGTACGCTCATGCGGCTACTGAGGTGGTATATATAATACACATCCGCTAGTGGACATCGATCACATCACGCCAAAACGGAGACCAGGAGACAATTATGAAGAGCAAGCCCTGCGCAGTACATGTACAATATGTTACACGTCTCGGCTGTGCGGCAAACACGAGAAAGATGCCGTTTCCATTAACCATCGATGACTAGCCAATCGACAGAAATCAAGAGACAATCACCCCGAAATAGGTAAAGCCGACCGACGACAGAAGCCGTGTTTTATCACATCGAACGCAGGAATGTAGGCTTGCGCTCCCCGTGGCAGCTGACCCTCTAGCTGCTGGCCCCAAACTAAAACAAAACGGGAGAAATCAATGAAAACGGCCGCTCGCGGTGACCACGAGGCGGGCACGCAGACTGCGGACACGACACTGGGACCGGCCGGGCCGGTGAGATCATGGCGTGAAAACTGACGCAGACTCTACAGAGCCGCTACACCCGCCCACACATTCGCCCTGTCACAGGACACGGGGTCTCTCGCACGCACACCCACTCACACCCACTACACGCCACACAGTACTGGCAGCTCCAGGGTCACGTACAACACGGGCACACGACAGTGGTAACGACGGACACACAGTAGCACCAAGGTGTGTGTCGGCACAGAGGGCTGCGGACTTTCCTAGCGTAACGTGAGGCATCTCCACCCCGGGGTATCCCCGGAGGCGTGCAACAAACACATCCAGTAAGCGGTGACACGCGGGGATCTTTATAGTCGCAGGTCTCTCACCAGGCAAGCCCAGCCACACCAACAACCGCAGCATGCACTACTGCACCACGCTCCCAGGCCCACGCATCCCGGCTCCCAGACATCACTCTACGTAGCCAGCTGTCCGCCCCACACGCACCCCGCTGCCCTCCGCGGCTCGTCACACCTCCCACCCGGGCCCCGGGCCCCAGGCCCCGGGCCCCGGCCCCGGCCGCGGGGCCTCGTCTCCGGGGCGCCGCCGGCTGTCCCCTGGACCTGGGCCAGCCGGCGGCGCCGGCGTCGGCGCCGGCCGGGACGGCGCACTGGGCCGGGCCGCACCGCCCGCCTACGAGCTCCCGGCTGCGTGAAAGCAGAGCGGGCGCCGGTTAGCGGGGTTAGTAGCGGCGAGCGTGGCCGGCCGGTGGGCCAAGCGTCCCCGTCCGCTGTATGTGCTCGTTCGGAAACCGCCCTCACCACTCAGGGTGGGGCGCACCAGACAAGCTTCCGTGCACTATGTACGACCGAATGTCAATTCAGTCAAAGATCCGTAAAACAACGGCCTGCAAATCTAGCTGGATCAGTTTAGAGCTGAGCCGGCTAGTGCCGGATACTTTCTGGTAGTCGGCAGTAACCGGTGACGACCGAGCACACACGGTACAGTGGGGAGGCGCGGGCGGGGAGCGACCGGCCACGGGGGCTGGGGGCCGACACAACGCCAGCAGCCGCACACCTAAGCCGCACCGACCCCCGTCTCGCACACAGAGCCGGGCTGACCGAGGCTAGCAGCACCAGAGGCCGGGCAGTGACCGGGCGGGCTCGACAGCGGGCCCCTGACTGAGCCGGGTCACAACGCCTGCCAGCGTCGTGCAGCCCGGCCAGCGGAGTTCACAGGCACCAGTTAGCGGCAACCAGCGGCCGGAATGCATGTTAGACGAAGGCCAGCCAGAGGTCCTGACACCAACCTCATGAAGAGTGGTCACTAAAGCATACAAACCTCCCATCTTTCACCAAGATGGATCAATGTCCTGATAGTCAAGCGGACCAACAAACCGAGTGCTGAGTGATGAATACATTATATTATGGTATAGAGGAGCCAGAAGTCATGCATTGTCACGATAACTTGTGTGATGAGACGGGGGTTGATAATAAATTTGCTATGCACAAAGGCGAGCTTAAACTGACAGCACCTTTCGCTCTGAAACGAAACGGGGTAATGTAAGGGTAAGAGGCCATCAGGCTTTGATGATCACAAATAAACGCACACATACGGGGTACCATGACTATACCAAGGAATTAGAACACCAAAAGCTTGAAAGGGTTTCACAAGCAGTAGAACAAGAAAGCCGAAGTCTTAGAAGAATCACCACAAAGCAGTAGCACCGGAGCGACAAAAAGCTGGAAACGGTCTCAGGCAGCACCCCCGCACTACAAGCGTGGACGGCGTGGCAGCCCTCGTGGGTATCATGCTGGGTTCATACGGCACACAATCCAGCTCCGAGCCACCAGCGCCGGTCCGGCACACGAGCCAGCTTCGCATGCAAGCGCGCCGAAGACGCGGCCTTCTCGTCAGCTCCCGCACGTCATTTACCGGCTGCCCGGACCGTGGGATGACGAATCGGCTCGAATGGCCGGCGCGCAACTGTTCGGACAATGAAGGACTGCGTCTCTCGGACACCGTAAAAGGCTACTGACTTAGAGATCGCGGAGGGATCTAAGCTCGTAGACTATTGCAGACTGACTTGCAGACCGCGCACGATGATCAACTCACCGAACACCGGGGTGAGTATTGAGGGGGAAGGGGGGGGGGCTAATGGCTCGGCGCACCATCAGTTTTCTAAAACGATGAAGACAACCGGTTCAGACAGCACGGAAGCTGGGTATTGAGTTTACTTTACTCTTTGTATTGGCCGAGATATATCAGAAGAGCTCGTTTTGGGGGTGAGCGGCGGGTGGGCGTCGCCCGTGTGCGTGGTTTGGCGGCCGGGGGCGGAGCACACGTCGGGCGGGCTCGGGGCGTCAGCGGTGACGGGCGCGCGCACGCAGATGGTCGCACATCTGGCCGGCCGGCCGCCGAATGAGACGAGCACCGGCGGCCAGGGTCGCCCGGGCCGCCGGCCTTCGGTGGGCCCGGGCCGACACCAATCGACCGGAGGCCAGCCGCCGCGCCGCGGTCTGCTGATGACACAGACTGCCCTCCCCCGGCCGCCTTCTGCCGGTTCTCGCCAGCAGCTGACGCGCCCCGTCACCCCGCTCGATCGATCCCTGACAGCGCTGCTGCCATGGCATCTCTGAGCGGCCGCAAGCGCGCGTGGTCATCTCACAGAAGCGTTTCGAGTGAGGTCAATGTGAATCGGAGTGAACACCCAGAACCGGATCTTTCTCCTGCCGCAAAGCATCGACATTTTCACCCCAAACACACAGAGGCTTGCGCTGACCCTAACTTAACGCGCACGCCGTCTAGAAACCTCCGAGCGACCAAACCACACGCTAGCCACGTCTGACAATGCCCGACGCAGTCCACTGACTCTGGCCTGAGTGCGGCCCGGGCCAGCGCCCCGGGGTGGGCGGAGGCCGGCGTCCAGCGACCCCGGCCGGCCGGCTCGCTCTGGTGCCGATCGATGGCTGGGTGACCGCCAGCCGGCCGGGCCGGCCGGAGAGCTTCGATCGGCCGCCCCCGCGGCCGGCTCAGGTGCGCAGCCGGCGCCGCGCCGCCGGCTGCGTACGGCCGCGCCCGGCCGGCTCGCACCGCCCACACCGGCCCCAACGGAGCCGGCGGCTGCGGCGACACCAGACAGCCGCGGCGTCGCTGTGATACGCAATCGCGCTGGCGGATGGCCGACTGCGTGGGGGCGGTGGTGGGGGCGGGGCGGGGCGGGGGCGGTAGGAGCGAGGACGGACGGCAGCGCGCTGGGAGCGGACCACGGCTGCGGGAAGCGGCAGCGCACTGCGAGCGGGCCGGTGTCGAGCGGGGCGTGAGCGCGCAGGCAGCTGCCCGCGGCGGTGCAGCACACGCAGGCGGCGGCCGGGCAGGCCAGGGTGACGTGACCGAGTGTGAGGGAATCTGACCTGGCTGGGCCCGGTTACATAAACTTGGCTGGCAGGGCAGACGGGTACAGTTAGTGAGGCGCGCGTGCGCGCACACAGACAGACAACAGACACAGACAGAGACAGAGAAGGGCGACAGAGACGGTGGCAGCGGCGGCGGCGGCGGGGCCGCGCGCTGTTGCTGACCTGGCGTTACATAAAGTTAACTGTGGCGACGGGCGCGGCGGCAGGAGAGAGGTGGCCGTTAGCTCCCAGCGACATACGCAGACAGACACACACGTCACTCACGCGCGCCGAAAGCCATCGTGTCTTGGACGGTATTGGCTACGGCTACGTCGCTCAAGCATGCCGTGATAGACTGAAGACTAGACATCGTGTCGATGCTATCGTTCATTGATAACATGAGTTACGCTGGTAAACGCACGATTGATCACAGTCACCATATTATGCTACTCTAGACGCAGTAATCTCTGGTATTACTATAAAACAGGTGTCTATCGGTCACTAAGTAATATTAACAACAACGCTTACTTTCTAGCAGCGCAAGGTCTTTCAAGCACACCATGGCAGTAACGAAGTGCGCGGTGGCACAAGCGTTAAACCATGCATGCCTGTAGGGCGAAACAAAAACATAAAATCCACTTACCGGCAATGATAATGATAAGCACTATGACTATAACACCAATAATCAGCCACATCTGAAATAAACAGGAAAAGAAACAGTGAGGAACCGGAGAAAATGGCTCGAATACCTGTGCTCTGAATGATGAAACGTGAGATGGGAAAAGTGAATAACCCACAAACGAGTGCTTGCACAGCCAGCCAAGACGGCTGGGCGGCGCAACCAACTGAAAACCAACGCGTAAATAATTCCCAAGCCAGGCACCAAACGACCGCTCAAACGCGCTCTAGTCTACAATCGCCAAACCCAATGAGCGGCGGACGGGAGGGCAGGACCATCGGCGTCCAACCGCGTCCGCTGCCTCCAGCTGGGTCAGACGGGCAGTGGAGCAGCCCGCCCCACTCGGCAGGAGCGGGACGAGCGGTCCACAGCTCGGTCTGAGCCGAGCCAGGACCGAACGGTCCACAGTTCGGTCTCAGTCAAGCCAGGACCCAGCGGTCCACAGCTCGGTCTAAGCCCAGCCCGGACCCAGCGGTTCACAGCTCGGTCTCAGTCAAGCCAGGACCCAGCGGTCCACAGCTCGGTCTAAGCCCAGCCCGGACCCAGCGGTCCACAGCTCGGTTTGAACCGAGCCGGGACCGAGCGGTCCACAGCTCGGTCTGAACCGAGTCCGGACCGATCGGTCCACAGCCGGGCCGCCGGCGTGCCGCGGCCCTACGGCCAGGTCGGGCGCCGGAGGCCGCGCCGCCCGTCCGCCGCCGCGCCGCTGGGCGGGCCGAGTGGCCGGCGCCCGTCTCTCGTGCTCGCCCCGCGGCCGGGACGCTAGATACCATCCGTGACGTGCAGCAGCGTGCCTCCCAAACGGCGGCCGGCTTACCTCCGATAATGACAATTATCACA